CACCGTGCCTGGCCTATACGTTTAGATTTTAAAAAATAATTGATAATAGTAATTAATTCTTAAAGATTTTGAATAATGATAACGTAGTGAGTTTCTTAAAGGAAATAACTTTGTTCTGTTCTTCAGATGGAACTTAAAGATGTTGAAAGAAAAATTGCACAACAAGCAGCTAAGCTGCAAGGAATAGACTTAGATCGAACTGTTCAACAAGTAAACCAGGAAAAACAAGAAAAACAACACAAATTAGACACAGGTGATAGTCTGTTTCCTCATGTACCCATAAAGACTTTGATATTGCCAGCACATGCTTTTTATGGTAAATTTTATACCTATTACATGGACAAGGAACTTCTTTCCAGCTTATGGTATATTCACCCTTTTCTCAAAAACATCACTTCTCTTTGTTTCCTTGCTTTGCACAACAGATTTTGAATGGTAGGAGAGTATCAGATGAGTTGTACTCTTTCTCAGTCATACCTGCCCTGTGAGCTTTACCTGTGAGTGGCCAGGAGGGGACATCAGGCACCTTGGGGGATGGCAGGGTCCTTGTTACACTTTTGTCGCGGTGGGTGGGGCCCGCAGAAACTCAGCCTTGGTGGAGTCCATAGACTAGGAGGACGATACTAATAGTATTTTCTGTACCCTTACATTAATCACTGTGTTAATACGTTTTCTTACAGTTTCCAGTAAGATTGAATTAAATCGTAAGCTTATACAGGACCAGCAAGAACAGATTCAACACCTAAAAAGTACTGCAAATGAACTAAAATCGGAGAAACTTCAGATATCCACTAATTTGCAACGTCGTCAGCAGCTGGAGGAGCAGACTGTGGAATTATCCACTGAAGTTCAGTCTTTATACAGAGAGATAAAGGTAAGAACATTTATACATTTGTTTTTTAAATTAGTTCATATATGTAAAATACTTTCATTGGTGTAGAGGCTAGAACCATGATTATTGTGAGGATCAAATGAAAATGGTATAACAATTCTTTATGTGGTTCCTGAGTACCAGAACTTTACTAATAAGTAAAGATTTGTGGAAGAAGGAGTTTGGCCATGATAAGGAAGAATAGGCTACCTGGTTAAGTAGTGAACTTTATGTTGTTAGAGGTGGTCAGATGGTGGTTGTATAACTCCAGATAAGGATTCTTGCTTCTATGGGAGGTTTGTTTTATCTAAAAATCCTATATCCATGGCAGACACTCAGTCATAGCACTATTTCCATTTGATTCTAGATGTAGTCTTGGAATTCTTACCAATACAGTAAGCAGGCATTGAGTTACCACTAGAATGCATTTGCCATCCCTTATTTAGATGAATCAAATCTAAGACTCAACTAATTATGAACAGTTTTAGAAACAACAGTCTTACCTAGATTTTCATAATTATATAAATTTATTAAGCACTAAATGTATTACTGAATCTGTTAATCATTGCTACAAACGTTACTTGATTTCTTGAATAATTTTGGATTACAAAATATCACAGGCTTAGAACCTTGCATTTGTATAATTTTTTTACTGTTTATAAAGCACTTTGGGCCGGGCATGTTGGCT